AGATAGGAAATGACAAGTAATATTAGCAGAATTAATAAAAAAAAGAAAAGCATACATATAATAGGGTCAACAAGGTCAAAAGCTGGTTCTTTAAAAAAGTAATAAAATTGATTAATGCCTGGCAAACAGATTAAAATGAGAGAGAGAGAGAGAGAGAGAGAAATAGCCAGTGTCAGGAAGGAAAAGTGGAACACGCTACAGATCCTATAGACATTAAAATAATAAAATAAGACACTACGAAAAACATTGTCAATAAATTTGAAAATGTAAATGAAGAAATCTGTTAGAAAAACATTGTCAAAAACTGAAATAGAAAATCGAGTAATATTAAACTAATTTGTAAATAAAAATCCTTCCATAAAAAAACTCGAGGTTCAGACAGTTTCTTTGGTGATTTCTAACAAACATTGAAGGAAGAAATAATAATCAATCTTACATAAAATATTCCTGCGACTAGAAAACAAAGGAATCCCCACTAGCTTGTTTTATGAGGCCAGCAAAGCCTGACATGCTCCTATTTGAAAAGGAAAATAATAGAGCAACCTTACTTACAAACATAGCCTCTTAAACAAAAATTTAATATACTGTATTCAGCAACATATAAAAAGGCCAACACAGCCTCACAAGGTTGGGCTTATGACAGCATTGCAAGGTTGGCTGAACAAGGGAAAATCAATACATGTAATTTACCATACTAACAAAATAGAGAACATACAACCATCTCAAAAGATACAGGAAAAAACATGATAAAATTCAAAATCCATTTATGATAAAAAAAATCTCAGCAAACCAGGAATTGAAGGGGAGTTGTTTAATATAAGGTTTATTTTATTTTTTAAAACATTTTTATTGTATTTTTTAATTACCATTATCCCCCTTATACCCCCCCACCTCCCTGCAATCACCACACGATTGTTGTGTCCGTTCTTTTTCCTTTTTGCTTGATCCCCCCACCCCCTAATTCCTGCCTCCCAGAGCTGTCAGTCTGCTATCTATGAGCCTGTCTCTCTTTTGCTTTCTAGTTCAGTTTGTTCATTAGATTCCACATATGAATGAAATACTATTATATTTGTATTTCTCTGACTGGCTTAGTTCACTTAGCATACTGTTCTCCAGGTCCATCCATGCTGTGGCAAAGGGTAAAATTTTCTTTTTTTACAGCCAAGTAGTATTTACAGTCATTGTGTAAATGTCCCATAGTTATTTTTATACATTTAGCTACTGATGGTCACCTGGGCTGTTTCCGTATCTTTGTGATTGTAAATGATGCTGCAATGAACATAGAGGTGCTTATGTCTATAAGGTTTATTTTTTTTAAATAAAAGTAACCCACTTCAATCAATGGTGAAATGTTGATAAATTTTCCTTTGAGATCAGAAAGAAAATAAGAGTGTCATCATTGCAACTTCTATTCAACATTGTATTGGAGGTCCTTGTCTGCTGGGTAAGGCAAGAAAAAAGGTCCTGTACATGTTTGTAAAGGGAGAAAAAGAAGTACAGGGATTGTGGAAAAAAAATCAACTGTTATTATTCACAAATGATATAATTGTATGTAGAAAATCTAAAAAACTATGTATACAATAGTTAAAAGTGTTTTACTCACATAAGGTAGATAAATAGACCAATGGAATAGAACAGAGAGCCCAGCAATAGACTACTGCTATATGGACATGATTTATGGCAAAGGTAACAATGTAGAATAAGATCTTTTCAACAAATAGTGCTGAGACAACTGGATACTCATGGAGAAAAAAAGAAATCTAATCTACACCATAAGCAAAAATAATTTCCAGGTAAACTGTAGGTATAAATGTGAAAGAAAAAACAAGTCTTCTAGAAGGTAATATAGGAGATTTATCTTCATTACATTTTCACAAATAATGATATACAAATGACCAACAAACATATAAAAAAGACACTTGATCTCATTAGTAATCAGGGAAATGCAAAGTAAATCCATATTAAGATAACAGTGTACAAGTATAATAGCTAAAACTACTAGACTGGCAATAACACATTTTAAAGTAATGGAAATTCTCACATGCTGCTGAGATAGTAGGTTCTGCACAATCCTTTTGGAAAACAGTTTCTCATTTCATTATTTATTAAACATATGCATACTCTGTGACCTAGCAGTTCCACTCCTGAAGTGGGTACTCAATAAAATTTAGTCTTTATGTCTACCTAGAGACATATGCAAGAATATTCATAGCAAGTTAATCCACAAAATGGAAATAATGTGAATGTCTGTTAATCATAGAATAGATAAACCCTGGTATATGCATTCAGTGAAATACTATACAGCAAAGAAAATGAATGTACTATGACATATGTACATGCAACAATATGGAGGAATCTCATAAACATAATGTTGAGTGAAAGAAACCAGGCACAAAGGAACATACTTTATAGTTCCATTTATATAAATGCAAACAAGCAAATAAGGAATGTATGCTTAATTGTTAAAACCACAAGGAATAACAAGAAAATGCATATCATGAAACTCAGAACAGTGGTTACCTTTCCCAGGTAGTGAGGATTAAGTGATTGAGAGGGCACAAGACAACTAGCAAGGTGCTGGAACTGTTCTATATCTCGACCTAAATGGAAGTTACATGCCTGGTTGATCTGTGATAAGTTGTGATTTGGTTCACTTTTCTCTGTTATATTTTATAATAAAATATGTGTGAAAATCAAGAATTCCTTTATTTATGGATCACTTGTCAGCTCTGAAGATAAATAATGAAAATCATGCAGTAAAAAAAATAGTGCATATTTTAGGAGTTAATCTATCCTATTTAGACTTCTTGTGCTTCCTATTAGAAGACAGAAATGTCATGAATGCAAATAAAGGTTATTCCACTTAAAATTCCAGATGCCATGGTTCTACTGCTTGTTCTTGAGCATGTGGTCAGATCTTCATTAGGATCCAGGTTATCAAGGGCCAAGTTCTCCCAGGACTCAGAAGGAAGAGGTTTGGTGAGGCCCTCTTGAATGTGATATTCACTGAGGTTTTGCTTTTTGCGGGAATCATAGGCCGCTTAGAAGACCATGCTTCAAGTGAAACATTTGTTCCTCTTAAGTAACATGAAATAAATTTCAGGGCACTCTGCTTTGGCTTTGCTCTTGTAAGAAGAGGAGGCAGGAAACCCTTCACCCAGGTCAGTTACATCACACTTATTCCACCCAATAACATCACAGGTTTTTCCCACATATATGTTTTAATTCCTAATTAGCCTGATTATACCACATAGGTGAGGCAATGGCTTAACTATTTTTGCATCCCATAGCACAAAGTAATGAATTAGGTACGTAATAGGCTTAAACAAATGCTTTGATTGCTTATATATTTTTCATCTCTACACATATTTGAAATAAAAATCAGTATTTTTTTCACTGGTACATAATTTTGGTTTACATCAAGCTTTTCATCACCCAGTAGAAAAAGATTTTTGTTATTCTGTTGATATCAGTTTGCCTCCTGAGAATTGGCAGGAAGCTTGTCCATTCCATAATTTGGACAAGGCTGAAGAAATCAGTTATCTACATTAACGTTTAAAGTATGTCAGAGGTGTTAGATTGAGCTCTCTGGGACTTAAGCAAAAATTAACGCACCTGTCACAAAACATTCTGTATTGCTTATATTTTGGTAAGCGATTACTAATTTTACATGATTGCAAACAAAGATGCTAGCCGGTATTTTACTACTCTTCTAGAAACATCTGGAAAGGGTGTCAGAACCTTGATGACTACAGTTAATGAACTCTTGAACTTCAGGAGCTTTTCTCCTTAGAGTACTCAGCAATTCACTCCTCCTGCTGTCCCTCTTCTTCAGTCCAATGGCTTCCTCTAAAGAGAGTACAATAGTTAGAAGCAGCAGCTATTCAGGAGTCGGCCTCATTGATTCTAAAGCTAGACCAGATATTTAATGCTTAACTATCTCTTAAGATCTGAAGATCTGGCTTACAAATCGAGCCCTCCTATTGCCTGATTTTTTCCCAGTCCTTAGGAGTTCTTTGTAGTAGTCATATAACTAAACTTTTTCACAAGCTCTAGTGTTAGAAAGAAGGTGGTTATTCAGAAAGGAGGACACTTCATTGGGCTTGGAATCCTTAGGGCAACACTTTCCCTTACTATTCCCCAGACATCTTTGAGTTGTGAGTTATGCAAAAGGGAACTTGATATCTGATGGTTAACTCTGCAATCTAAACCACTGCTGAAAATGGTTATGGAGCACTCTCCTATGAGATCTTCCTAATTTCACCAAGTACCATTCTCCAGAAATCAAGTCAATTTGTAGATAAGCATGAAGTCTTAGGGACGGTGTTGGGTGAATTGATCGGAAACTTAAAATACTGCTTGGCAAGAATGGAGAGAACCTAGATTGCAACTCAGCTTTAGCACTTAACTACATGACTAACCTTGGGCGAGTTAGTGTCTCTGTGATTCAGTTTTTTCATCAAGTAGGTAAAATACCTATTATCTACTTGAGATCTGGCCTCCAGCACAGTGGGAGGCAAGAAGTAGGCAATTCGAAAACGATAGCTATAATGGTTATAGGCAATGAGTCAGTTTCGAGTTACTTTAGTGCCTCTGCAGGGACCGGGGGCAGAAGTGAGGCAGTATGAGCTTATTCAGGTAAATGATGCAGCTAGTTCTGCCAGGTCTAACAGTACCGGCACGCCTTTTGCAGCAAGGCTACTTTCAGAGGCCCAAGCCACACTGATGACACGTCCTAAGGTGGTACGAGGACAAGTTGGGACATTTGTGGTTTGGGTCCTGGTCCAGCCCAGCAGGAGCTGGGCCAGTAGCGGGGCAGTTCAAACTCACCTGCTTGGCAGGTGCACACAGTCGGAGGCGTGACAGCAGAGGCGGGCTCGCGGGGTGGGCGGAAGCTGAGGCTGTAAAAGCTCCAGGCGCAAGGCTCCCGCCGCCCAGTCGCCGCGGTGGCTGCCGGGATACGCCGCAGCGAATGGTCGCGCCGGGCGCCGTTCTGAGTGACCTTTCACCCGCGCCCAGCGGTCCCGGACGGCTGCACAAGGCGGAAGCCATGGCGGAGGCGGCGGCTGCAGCCGGTGAGACGGGCGCGAACGCAGGCTCCGGCGCTGCAGCGGACCTGGATCGGGACCCCGACCGGGACCGTGCGGGGCGGAGGTTGCGGGTTCTCTCGGGCCATCTGCTGGGCCGGCCCCAGAAGGGTCTGAGTACCAATGAGTGCAAAGCCCGGAGAGCCGCGTCTCCTGCTACGGCGGCGCCCACGGCCACTCCCGCCGCGCAGGAGTCGGGCACCATCCCCAAGAAGCGGTGAGTAGCGGCACGGTGGAGCGAGCTGCCAGGGAGGTACCAGGCCGCGCCCTGCGGGAGATAACAGGCGAGGTGATAAGGGAGGTGACGGGTGGGCAGAAGGCATCCCGGTCCCTGAAGGTACCATCCATTTCTTTCAAGAGGGAGTGGATGAGATCCTGGACTCTTGTCAGGAAGGGGGCGGAATGGGATGGTGGATTTGGGTCACTGTTTCTGAGTAACAGACCTGAAGAACTCTTTTTGGGGAAACCTTTAAGGGGACACTTTTTTCTTGGCTTTTTAATGCCAGGAATTCATTCTCTTATCTTGAATCAATACGCTGGGGTCCAAGATCTTGGAATGGATAGAAGGGGTTCTCCTTTGATCTTTCAAGGAGATTTAAGTTTGTACTAGATGATGGATCTCTCTCTTCTAACTCCCGCAAAGGAGAAGTGGAAGAAGACAGTGACTGGTTTCTTAGGGGCAGGGCATTCGACTTTGAGGGAAGGAGCCGAGAGGTGGGAAAGAAGCAATAAACTTGAGATACTAGTTAGTGATTTTAGGGTGTGGTGGTAGCGACCGAGCTCCTGTGTAAACAGAAGCTGAAAGATCTTGACTTCCGACTTTTTGGAGAAATCTTAACCTCTGATGGAAGCTGCTAGGAGAAGCTGTTTTCTGAGATGTGGCTTTGTCAGTGTGGCTAAACTTTGAGAGTGAAAAGAATGGTGCTAATGTTTAATGCTTTCAATGTGTGGGAGATTGTGCTAAGTCTATTATTTCTTTTACTCCTCTCTCCAATGAGGTAGGTGCAATTCTCTCCCATTTTACAGATGAAGAAATTAAAAAGATTTACAAGGCTGCTGCAGTCTTGGCAGGTACACTGTGTGCAGCAGGTTAGAATTCAGAAGCACATCATATTAACTGTAGGGTCAAGTTCTGCTTCTGTACTGCTTCTGAACCTGTACTGCTTCTCATGAAGTGACTAATTCAGCATTCATTGAGTTTTCCCTCTACTACATACTCATGGTATTAGTAATACAGAGATTTAAAAATGCAGTGTTTCCTCTTAAGGAACTAATAGCTTTAGTAAAATAAAGTTATACAATGTGATAATAAATTAGCTGGTAACCATAACAAGTGGTCACTTAACCCTGTTTTGGGTGTGTATTTGTTAGGGCAGAGGCTTTTCAGAATACAGATTGTCTAAGTAAATCTTGACATTTGTGTTGGAAGCTGCCAGCCAAAGGAGGAAAGTGTTCTTGCAGAAAAAGTGCATTCACGGATAAAGCAGTAAGACTAGTTAGGGAACTGCTAGGAGTAAAATGTGACAGAAAAGGATGAGAATGACAGGTAATGAGGGCTGGAGAGACTGGTCTTGTTTGCAGGATTTTATGTGATATATAACATTACATTTACCTTTTAGAAAGGTCACATTGGGGAATGAACTGAAGAAGGTTAAGCACAAGGGTTTGAATTTTCACTGCACAATCCAGCTGCATGACTTAGGCAAGTCACTTAACCTTTCAGAGCTTCTTTCTGTTCCCCCATCTGTGAAAATGAGGACTGTAATTCCTGCTTGGCATTGTTGCTGTGAGAATTGAAAAATTTTAAGTGATTAAGTGCTTAGTGCAATGCTGACTATATAACCCCTCAACAAATGGTGGATGCAGTTTTCATTGAGGCCAAAGACAGGGAGACTAATTAGAAGACTGTTATCCCAATGAGAAATGCTACGATTGGGAATAGGCAACCTATTTGAAAAAAATAATAGGAGGTAAATTTTTCCGTAACTTGGTTACTGAATGATGGAGGATGGAGGAATCAAGGATCATGTCTTGGCCTCTGGCTTCACTTGTTATTATATTTGTCATCATAAGGTTTAAAACTTAAGTGTTCTAAATGACTTCATGTACATTTATGTCTGTTCATTTATATGCAACCATGTGTGATTGTGTATTTACATGCAGGTTTACACTCTTAGAACTAAGTAGATAGGCCAGGTGTATTCCTTATGGTTGGATTTAGGAGCCTTGGTCTACAGTATTTGGAGAAAAATAGTTAGTCTTGCAAGGCACTTTGGGATAATGGATGAGGCCTCCATGGGTGAAGGTGATTAGTCTGGGGTCCCCTGTGTGGCTTTGCCATTGTTTGAAGGTATAGTTGTAACCCATGGATGGCATAGATTGCCAAGGGTCAAAAGCGGTGTCTGGTCTCTGGTTCAGGGTTAGGTGTAGTTAATTTTTAAAATCTAGTTTTATAAAACTGTTTTGAAGTTGGAATTAAAATATGAGGGAACACAAAAGTTTCCTCAGAGAGTGATCTACTTAATATATTATTCATGTGGAACCCAGATCTTCCTTTTAAGGAAGGCAAGTGATGGAGCAAGGAGGAGCCAGCTTGTATGTCAAATAAAGGGTGAATGTGACTGTATGTCAGTTATTTTGGAATTGTTTGGTGATGTGTTTGGTTCTTCGAATAACTCCTCTTTTATTACCTTGGATGGTGTTATTGGTCACAATTCTTTTATCTCATGGCTGGTTTATCATCATGGAATTCGAAGAGTGACTTCTGGAAACTGCATGTTTTCATTCCTCTTACACAATAGTCATGCATATGTTAATTTACTCAACATTTATAAAGTAGCTGCTTCATGACAAGTATTGTTCTAGGCACTGGAAGAGGTGAATAAAAGACCTCGACCTCAAAGAATTCAGAATCTAGCAAGGGAGATAGACATTCCAGTACAGGTTGAGCCCAGCCACCGTAGATACAGGTACAGGTGTAGCACAAAGGAAAGAAAGTGGTATACCCTGTCTAGGGGGTCAGGGTAAGCTTTCTGGACATGATTTTAAAATATGGGTGATAGTGTGGCAGGGTAATGGATGATGAGGCAAAGAAAATAAATAGCATATGGCAAAGCAGTGGGGCATGAAAGTGCATGTTGTATTTAGGTAACTAAGCAGTTCAGCGTAGGTAGAGGTGGGAGTAAAGTGAAAAGAGGAGGGCCCTTGCAGGTCATGGAGGCCTCTGGCCTGTAGGTCATCATTCATTCATTCACTCACTCATTTACGCATGCATGTTTGAGTGCTTCCTAGGCCACATAGAGCAGTGAACAAAGTCTGCCCTTAATGGACTTACATTCCAGTTGGAGTGCAGATAGTGAGTGAATGAACAAGTCATATAGTTATATTTGTCAGATAATGTTAAATATAATGGGGGAAAATGAAGTAGCTGAAGGGAGTACATGATGGAGAACCCTTGAAAGAATTGAGCTGGAAAGGAACATGGTCAGATTGGGTTTAGGTTTGAGAGAAACCACTCCAGTTGAGTGTTAACAGTTGATTGGAGAAGGATGAGGATGAACATGGTGAGATGAGTTAGGGTAGGCCGTTGTAGCAGAACAAATGAACGGTAATGAAGGATTAATCCAGGATGATGGCAATGAAAATAGAGAGGGAAAGGATAGATTTGGGTTTTGGAAGTTAGTGCATTAAGTGATACTTAAAATTATGTGACCAAAGGTAGAGTGGGGGAGGGGTGGCAGTTGGAGATGGTGAAAACAGAAAAGAGATTAGAGAGTCCTGAAGAATGTGGACACTTAAGAGGGCTGATTGGCTAAACCCTGTTGCACTTGTAACATGGTTTCCTTTGAGTTGGTTCTCATTATTTCTGTCCAGGAACACACATTCTCCTTATCATGAAGTGGCTGTGCCGAGTTTTGAGGGGATGGTTTGCTTTTGGACCCTCTGTTTTTCCTTAAGTGCGTATTACTCAATAAGCAGTTCCTTTTTGATCTTGCTTCCGACTGCAGTTTTAGATTCTTAAAAATTACAGTAAATGTCAGTTAAGTATATGACATTTTTATGCCTTGGTTTTAGATTTTGTTAGTTACTTAAAAAGCTATTGTCATGTTACGAAAAAGAGAAAAAAAATACCCGTTGGCATCCATTGAATTTGTGACCTTAAACAGTGACCTTAAAGTATACAATGTTCAAATGTTATTTCTGAACTTCCAGGATTTCAGCTTAAAATCATGTCTTGAGTTATTACCCAGTTATGCATTTTAAATTTGTTACAAGTCAGTCATTCCTTCAGACTATATTCTCTTAAATTTTGAAATATATAAAAGATACATTTTTATTTAGCTTTTTAAAACAAAAATTGACATTTGGCTTTGATTCTTTTTTCTTAAGCCTTTTTATATTTTATTCTGGACCTTTCTCTGGTTGAAATATGCTTACCCATTAAAGAAGGCTGTTTCCATTCTAGGTAACTGCTTATTTCTTTTGGCAAGGGAGTTTGGCCTCTTTGGTGAGATTAGGAGCTCTAGGTGTTGTCTTGTCACTCACTAAGAAAACTTCTGTACTGTGTGTAATATTTGGCCTTGTCAGCATATCTGAATTTACCAGAGGTTTTGGCCATAATGGTGACCAAATTCTTGCCAGCAACTTCACTGGGACTCTCCAGATTCTATTTATAGTTGCCATGTTGCAACTTTATGCCATCAAGTGGGGAATGTTCATGCATCACAGGTGCTTGTAAACAAATAATATGAATTATTTAATTTGTTATATTCAGTTTGCAACTCTCACTCAGATTGATAATGTGATTGGTTTTGACTTTCTTTTAAAGATGTTTAAGCTTTATAGGAATCCAGCATCAGGGATATTAAAATGACACCCACTAGAATTCTATTCTGTCGCCCCAAATTTTATAAATCAGAGGTATCCACTAGAATGTTCTGTGGTGATGGAAGTGGTCTGTATGGTAGGCACTAAACACATGTGGCCATTAAGCACTTGAAATATGGCTAATGTGACAGAGGAGCTGAATTTTAAATTTTATTTAATTTTAATTAATTAAAATTTAAATAGGCTTATGTGGCTAGTGATACCATGTTGGACAGCACAGCTGTAGATTGAAACGTAACTCATTATCCACCCATTTTTGTTTCCAAATGAAGTTACTTTTCTGGGTTTCTTACTTCTCTTAGTACCATTTCTATGGTCATATCTTTCAGC